AGTGGGATTGACCGTCACGTTATAACGCCCCCACGGCTGAAAGGGCGAGCATGTTTGGTGATTTTATCGAAATATTGGTAGTATTGCTGTTTAATAGACAGCAAAAGTAATTTTTCTTTATTATACATAATGAGGAAATAATAACTGAGTGTTAAAGTTCTAAGTAAAAACGTGAAGGGGCTGATTACATTGTTGTGATTGTAATACTAATCCTGTATTCAACGATTTCGCATGGCCACGTGGTTAGGGCGCTCGACCTACAATCTGAGGGTCGCATGCTCGAATCCCCGTCAGAATAATCATTACAATTTTAATAACTAATTATAGTGATGAAAATCTCCAAAAATAAATCAGATATGATATGCGTTTAAATCTAGCCAAAAAGCTCGAGAAAAAATTCTAAAACAATTTTGGAACATTAAGAAATTTTTATTTTTCTTCTTGTTGTTTATACCACAGTCAATGGTGAAATATCAAACATTTAATTGTAAAACACTGACAATTATTATTTTTTGTTTCTTTGTTATTAAGCACAAAGTTATACAATGGGCTATCAGTGCTGTGCCTACCACGAGTATCGAAACCCGGTTTTTAGCATTATAAGCCTTCGAGACCAATCATTTGGAAATATAGATACTGGGCTGAATCGTCAAAAACACAAATATTTTTAACGAAGCAAGTGCGGAAATGTCAATAAAACATTTTATTTTATTTTCGCTGGATGATAGGCCTAAATGTCAATAAAAACATGATTACTTTATTAGGCCATGGACTGGATTGTTTTCATTGAATTCCACTAAAGGTATCGAATACTCATCCAACAACCTTTTTTTCACATCTGTAATCTGCGTAGTCTTTTATCAATTAGAACTAGTCAGTCTAGGAAAAGAATATCCGATAAAACTGAAGGATCAAATACATCCATAACTAGGATTTTGGATAAAATGGTATTTTCTCAGGCCGCTAATCTATAGCATAATTAAAGTCCCGAGCTATCTGTTAACTTTTCAATTTGAAATATTTATTAATTTTATGAAATTTAGAAGAAAAAAAAACGTTATCTGCATACTGTTATTTGTCAACTTGCTTATTAACAATATTTAGTATTCAGTTTATTATTTGACACGTATTTAGCAACAATAGTATAGTAGTAATATTGTTGTTTTTCTGAATTTTTAGACATTTAGATTGACCTTTACACCACAAATAATAATAATAATACAACTCAATTCACTTAGCTCTGATGAAGCTGGAAGAGCGAAACGTTTTTTTTATTGTTATCTGGTAAATAAAGTTCGTTTTTTTTTCAAACTTCATTGTGAAAAACGATACTTTGCTTCTAATGAACTCCGTTCTGTATCGCTTTTTTACTTATGATTTAGTAAAATGTTTTCTTAATTGGGATTCGGTCCATGTTTTGGACCAGGTCGGGTCAGGTTCAGCATAGAACCTCTTCCTCCCTCTCTGGAATTGTTATTTTGTTTGCACTGTTACTGAATCCTAGGTAATAACCCTTGTTACTTTGTTGTTGTATTACTCACAGTTTGATAAATTTTGTCCATTGTTCGCATTTTAAATTAACATACCCTTTTCGTGGCACATCCAATTCATTGGGTAAGATAACTTGTATATTTTCACTAGCTTCACTTATGTATGATCGCACTATTAGTCCGTGTTCACAATACAGTTCCACTTAGTAGTCATACACACACATATAATCATATTTTTTTACATACAAAACCCTTTTAAAACAGAGCTACGTTTGTGACTAGGATCCAGTTAGCCTAGCACTGTTTGACCTGTAAGATTCTTATCTATGATG